AAAGAGAGAACCACATACAAAAGAGAGAACCAAATACAAAAGAGAACCAAATACAAAAGAGAGAACGCAAATGCAAGAGAGAGAACCAAATACAAAAGAGAGCACGCAAATGCAACAGACAGATCCAGATACAAACGAGAGAACCAAATACAAAAGAGAGAAACAAATTCAAAAGAGAGAACGCAAATGCAAAAGAGAGAACCAAATACAAAAGAGAGAACCAAATTCAAAAGAGAGAACGCAAATGCAAAAGAGAGAAACCAAATGCAAAAGAGAGAACGCAAATGCAAAAGAGAGAACCAAACACAAAAGAGAGAACCACATACAAAAGAGAGAACCAAATACAAAAGAGAGAACCAAATACAAAAGAGACCCAAGTACAAAAGAGAGAACCAAATACAAAAGAGAGAACCAAATACAAAAGAGAACCAAATACAAAAGCGAGAAGCAAATACAAAAGAGAGAACCAAATACAAAAGAGAACCAAATACAAAAGAGAGAACCAAATACAAAAGAGAACCAAATACAAAAGCGAGAAGCAAATGCAAAATAAAGAATGCAAATGCAAAATAAAGAATGCAAATGTAAAAGAGAGATCCAAATACAAAAGAGAGAATGTAAATGCAAAAAAGAGAACCAAATATAAAAGAGAGAACCAAATACAAAAGAGAGAACCAAATACAAAAGAGAGAACCAAATGCAAAAGAGAGATGCAAACACAAAAGAGAGAACCAAATGAAAAAGAGAGAACCAAATGCAAAAACAGAACCAAATACAAAAGAGAGAACGTAAATGCAAAAGACAGAACCAAATACTAAAGAGAGAACCAAACACAAAAGAGAGAATGTAAATAAAAAAGTGAGAACCTAATACCAAATACAAAAGAGAGATAGTGAAAAGATAGATTGTAAAACAAATATGTTCATAAAATAAAAAATAATTTCCAGTTGCAGGAGGCATTGATGTGGCTGAAGGCTCCACTGGTGCAATGATAATGTCAGGGCAAATTGTTCAACTTTCCTTTGACCATCCTAACACTGGCAATAGAGCATGTTTTAACGTCAATAGCCTGTCCTTTTAGTAGCCTGCTAGGGGGCCGCTGGCTGTCTCAGGTGTCATTACAGAACAGCTATTTTTACCATTTAGACATTTTACCAAACATAATTTTACATATGACAAATATCATGATAATTATTTGCAAATAAAAAGCATTTACACTATGTGGACAAAAGTATCGGGACACACCTCTGAATCACTGAATTCAAACCCATTGCCACAGATGTGCCATGCAGTCTGCCTTTACAAATGTTTGTGAAAGGATAGGTCATTCTACAGAGCTCTGAATTCGAGCATGGTACTATAATTGGATGCCACCGTTACAACAAATCAGTGAATGCGAATTTTTTTTCCCTCCTACATATTCTACAATCAACTGTGAGTGGTATTATTGAAAAGTAGAAGCATTTATGAACCACAGCAACTCAGCCACAAAGTGCCAGACCATGTATAGTTACAGAGCAGGTCACCGGTGCTGAGGCGTGTAGTGTATAAAAGTCACCAACGCTCAGTAACTGCAGAGTTCTATACCTCCTCTGGCGTCAACATCAGCACAAAAACTGTGTGCCGGGAGCTTCATGGCATGGGTTTCCATGGCCGAGCAGCTGCATGCAAGCCTTACATCACCAAATGCAATGCCAAGTGTGGGATGGAGTGGTGCAAAGCACATCATCACTGGACTCTGGAGCTGTAAAAACGTATTCTGTAGAGTGACAAATCATGCTTCTCTTTCTTGCAGTCTGATGGACGAATCTGGGTTCAATGATTGCCAGGAGAACATTACCTGCCTGACTGCATTGTGCCAACTGTAAAGTTTGGTGGAGGAGGGATAATGCTATGGGATTGTTTTTTAGGGGTTGCCCAAGGCCACTTAGTTCCAGTGAAGGGAAATTTTAATGACGCAGCAGACCAAGACATTTTGGACAATGGCATGCTTCCAACTTTGTGGGAACAGTTCAGGGAAGGCTCTTTTCTGTTCCAGCATGACTGAGCCCCAGTGTACAAAGCGAGGTCCATAAAGGCATGGCTGGGTGAGTTTGGTGTGGAAAAACTTGACTGACCCACACAGAGCCCTGACCTCAACCCTATTGAATACCTTTGGGATGAACTAGAATGGAGACTGTGAGCCAGGCCCTCTCGTCCAACATCAGTGCCTTACCTCACAAATGCTCCTCTGGATGAATGGGCAAAAATTCCCACAGACACACTCCAAAATCTTGTAGAAAGCTTCCCAGAAGAGTGGAAACTGTTAAAGCAACTCCATATTAATGCCTGTGGATTTGGAAGCTCCTGTACGTGTAATGTGTAGGTGTCCCAAAACTTTTGTCAATATAGTGTACCTCCATGGTATACTGCATCCCAAAATGCAATGTGAAAATGAAATGACTGGAGGAAAATAGATGTGTTTGGAAACCACACATGTTTACCACACAGATGAACCCAAACAGTGACATTTTTAAGTTCATGAAGACAGGTAGTAAACACCATCCTGCCCTCTGTCACTGTATAGGGTGTATTTTAAAAGTCACACAGGCACATTTCTTGACCAAAATAAAAATGTACTCGCTGAAAAGCGGCTAGCAACGGTGGTCTTGAGATTGTCTGATTGGCTCAGTCCGTGATGTTGGCAGGCTAGTCGCACCCCTGTCCTGTAGTAAGTTACACAGTTTGTGTCATATACTAGATCTTATACAGTACACTACTGATGAAGAGCAGTATGTGGTATACACTAGTTACTGGTGCAGTATGCACTAAACAGTACAAAGTATGCTATTTCAAACACAGCATCTGGCAAAGTTTACCTTTATGCAAATTAGGAGCAAAGCTCTGCCACTGTGAAATGGTGTGCTCCCTTTTTGGTTCCTAGATGTTTGTTTTTACTACAGATGGAGGAATGGCAGCGCAGTGATCGCAAAACCAAACACTTGTTTTCTTCACATACTGACTACAGACAGTGATGCACTACACAGCGATTGCAAAGTCTCTCCACCCATATGGAAAAAAATATATTCCAGATGTATTTATCAAACATATGTATGAAAATGGCTAAAAATGTTTAGTTAAATTTTCAATTGTATGTAGTTTTAACAAAGGTTACAAATATAACTAAATAGTACTGACTATGTGTTTTTCATTGGACTTTAAATGAACCTTGTACATATGTGGTAAGTGTATTTCAATGTAATTTAAATAAACAGCGTACTGCTTTTAACTGCATTTTCACAGTGTAGCAAAAGCTACAACACTGAATTTTGCCGTGTTAAAGGTTCATTTGATAATATTTACAATTAAGATATTTGAATACAAATTCAAAAGGTATTCCAAACAGTTAAGTCCTTTAGACAAGTATTTTGGGTATTTTTGATTTGAGATTTTCAAATGTATTTGATAAGTACATTTTCATATATTGTTTTTTTATATGTAGTATGTAGTATTTTAAAATAAAAGTATTTTCAAATATATTTGGTTAATATGGCAGTACATTCCGAAACACATTGTAGTGTTTGGAATGTATTTCAGCATGGATTGCAATGTATTTGAAATGTATTTAAAATATGAAAATTTTTTTTCCATATGGGCAGGACTTTTATTTTTAGCAGAATGCATCTAATTTGTGCTTGTTGTCAGTGAAACCATGGCAACCAGTGGTCAGCTCAAGTTCAGAAACGCTCACAGGCATTGAGCGACTAGCATTTTGTATGATAACAAGTGAGGGTTGAAAATGAAAGATAAAACAGATTCATTAGAATGAAATGTTTATTTATTTTCTCGTTTCAGCATTTGCTCCTACATATCTGCCCTGTTTTATAAAGCATTATACTCCTTTAACAAGAAATGCTCAATATTTTTATCAGTGAGGCCAACTAGCCACTATTAATTAACAATAGTGAACTTAGCTAGCTGTCTCTTATACACCTTAACTCTTTTCATGTCCAGTTTATGGGTAAAACAGTTTTTGGGAAATGTTTTTGGGAAACTGTAGCACCTGCTGACACTGATTAAGTTAATATCTCTGTAAAAAGTCACTGGAAAAGAATCTAAAAATATATAACTAAGCTTGCTAGCTTGTTTGTTAACAGCTTCTTTAGTCATTCTAACATCAGATAAAGTTCAATACTGTAGCCACGTGTCTAAGTTAATATATACCTAACATTATCATATAGTTACAATGTTTTTAACAACACATTTGAGTTTATCACCACGGTGAAAAAGTAGCTGTCTTCTCTCTCATGAAGGCGCAGGATGAATTTTTCCCCTAATCTGGTTTGTCCTGCACATTCTTTGCTGCAGCTGTAACCAGTGAGGTGACAGGAAAAGTACCCAGCATGCAATGTGCGCTTGGAAACACAGAAAAGATACAGTGAAATTCAGAAATGGAAAAATTCTGTTTAAATTGTTCTAAATAGCACCAAAAAGGGTTTTTCTATTGTTACAGGCTTGACATCATAACAGTAGAAGAATCCTTTTTGGTGCTACATAGGTCCACTTTGAAAAAACATTCTAGAACCGGGTCCAACACATTCTCCGTCAATCTGAAGAACCATTTCACCATGTAAAGAACCATTTAAGCATGAAATGGTTCTAAATAGAACCATTCTCTTTACTAAACAACGCTTGAAGAAACACCTTTTGAAAAAGTGTATCTATAGTTTTATGTATTGGGCTTCCTATAAATATGCACTATGCTAGGATATTTTGACAAAGTAGCACAATTCGTCAGAACACCGGTTGGAGCCTGTCCTCTCCCTATTTATCACATTATATCAAATAATGACTGAAAATGCTAGGGCATGCAAGCTAGACCTTTTTGAATGAGGTGTGAATGGAGCTATACAACTAAAATGTTAATGAAGTATATTTATTTCACGCAGGAGTTTCCTTTAATTTCCTTTAATTACCTCCAATGACTAGTCAGACGCTCGTATAACAAGGAAAAGTGAGCTTTAATAACAGTGAGATAAGCCAAAAACGTAATCCAACAACAAGCCAAGAACAGAACCGAGATAGAAAATACGCACTGCAAGGAAAAAGCAAAGAGTGGTGGGGAAAAAGATCAGGGTCAAGAGCCAAAACAGTAAGTTCAAAATCAATAAACACTACCAAAAAGGGAAATCCAAAGACAAGGTTGAGAAAACAAGGCAGGTCGATACACAGTGATGACAAACAGGTATACAATGCTTGGTGTGCTCTGTGAGCAGTGGCAAAGACATAATGTGACATGTTTATTACAAAGACATGAAATGAGGCACAAGCGTAAACAGTATTCAGGTGACATGGAGCTTTGCCAATACCTCTTAGGCATAAATAATTCCGTCATATTCAGATTGTTTTTCACTTTCTGTTTTTAAGACAAGAAATGGGCCAAGACATCAGAAGGACTGTGAAGAATTTGTAATTGTGAAATGCTGGTGTAAACAGTCTGGCTTCATTCTTTTATCAGACAGAATGCAGCAACCCAGAGGTTTATGTTCCCTATAAATTATAATTAATTTCACAAGAGATAAAAGTGAAGACAGTTGAAAAACGGAGCTGATTGTAAGTGATTGAATGATAAAATGCTGCATTATAGTACAGTAGTGTGTGTCTTTGTGGTATATATAATGAAATTAATAATTAAAATTAATACAATTTGTAAATTAGTAACAAACATCTGCTAGTAAAATAGGCTACATTAAAAAGTGTTATGCGATGGGCAATGAGACTGGACACAAATACTTTAATGAAGTTTGTTACTATGTTGCCCATAAGGTAGCTACATAAGTACAAAGTACAAGTGACCGGTGGAGAAAGAAATTAAATGTTTCATGGCCACATCGATAAAACAATTAAATAAAGTGGTGATGTTTGTAAACCATGTAATATGAATAGTAAATTGGGGACGTGAAAATGGGCCAGGATGCCGATCCAGGTTGTTTGCACCTTGCATTACTGTGTTACTGTATGGATCGTACCTGCACCTGGACCACATTTTTGGTTTACACCATCTGTACTAGAGGTCAGCTTTTATAATTTCTGTAAGACTCAAGGTAAAAAAAAATTGCTTCAAACAACTCTTTAGTTTTTCCCTGCATGCACTAACACACAAATTCACCCTCTCAAGCAATTATTTAAAGACACCCAGGCATGTATGATCAATGTTCAGTTATAAAATAACTACCATGACTCCAGTGAAAAATAGACCTTGTGAGAACTCTGGAGTTGAATATTGCATGACTTTAGGATTGAAATATACACTTTGTTGCATAGTTAACCAGCAAGCTTCCTTCGTACATGCAGAGGTCTGATACTGTCTACTGTATAAAAATTATTCAATATTATTAAAATTATTATTAAAATTAAATGTTAATTAAAAGGGCCACAAATGTGAATTCAGATCAAGTGTTTTAAAAAAACGTTTGTACATTGCACACATCACATTCTTGTGTATCAGCAATATGAAAAAAGTAAGTGTTGATTTTAAGTGGTTTAAGATATGACACCAGGCCCCCTTAAACTGAACATGAGTAAATATAGTTTCATAGTTTCACCTGTAAAAGAGGAAGACAGGCTGGACCAAGTTAGACCTAAAATGTACCACTTTATCCTGTAAATACACATTAAGATATCTAACGTCTATAATGTGAAGGAATCAGCTTAGTATAGCAGACGTTAGTGCTTTGAGCAGGTTTTAGATTTCGGCTCTATTGCTTTTGCCTCTGTTCTGTTATAGAGGGATGCTCTTGATTGTGGCCCAAGTTTAGGATGTTTATTGACAGTTACTTTTGTTAGTGATTTCCACACCTAACTGAAGCACCAGTCTACACTTTTAGGTAGACATTGGATAGATGTTTTGGAATGTTCTGCAGAATTATTTAGGCCAGTTCCTAGTCCTGGTCCTGTAGTACCTCTGCCCTGCATGTAGTGTTCTCTCTGCTCTAGCACACATAATGTGTTATCATATGTGAAAATAAGTGTGGTCACATGTGAAAAAGCATATGATTGTGGAAACCTGTTAACGTGAAACAAATGTGATTACTTGTAAACACATGGTTATGTGAAAAATAAGTGACTTTCCTGTAAGAGGTGGCAAAATCCCAGATGGCTCTTTGTTAGACATATGATGCACTGTTTGGGTGCTGGAGCCTAGGTAGGTCACTATGTAAGGAGCTATTTGAGAGTCAGCTATAGTTCACCTTAAGAAGGGCTTGAAAATGAATTCCTGAGTTGCATCAAGTGTGTTGGGAGCAGGATTGAGAGCCTCTGATGTAGCCTTTCTAAAATGTATCCACACTGTTTGTGTGCAGTACCTAATAACCATAGAAAATGAATAAATTACCTTTAAAAAATAAAAATTAACTGGAATTGCCATTATTGCATCTAAATAACTCTCAAGATTTCTTATTTGTTAGTATCTAAGATGATAGCTTATATCCAAGGTTGTCTCTTCAAACGAAGTTACTGAGCTTCTCTTGAGCAATGGTGAGACGGTCCATCCGGTTCTGCATGTTAACGCGGCGTCTGCTGACCTCTGACTCTTCCCGGAGAACCTCAGCTACGTTAGCACCATCCATTAACCCTAACATCTCACTGCAGAGCAGCTGAGCAGACTCCTTCAACATGAAGTATCGGATCAGCATGGGCACCTGGTCAGCCAGTCGCTGCACTACGATCTGTCAGGAGTTGAAAAATGAGAATTTTGTTGTTGATTTCTATTCCATTTTGCATACACATATTATAGCTGTTGAAGTGGTTCTTCAAGAGTATTTGGCCCTCCTACTTAATTATCCACTGAACTAAAATATACCTCATAATAAGCGTGCAGCATCTCAGGATATTTGGTCCTGCAGTCAAGCCCAGTGTAGTTATCTTCTGAAGCTGTTTGTCCTTCCGCAGAAGGACGTGTTCCATTCAAGGTTTTGAAGTAGATGCTATCTTGAGTGTAGACCAGCTGCTCCATCTCAAACTGCTCCATGATCCTCTGCTCCACTTTAGCTTCTTGCTTTGACTGAATGTTGTCTATCTTGTTCTGGGGTAGCAATTATAAGCAGAGAGGGTACATAGTGTCAGTAGAGCAGTTGGAAACTACTCAAATCAAGTTGAAAGTTAAAAGGGTTTTAAAATTTCAGAATGATCGTACTAAAATATTCTTCTCATTCTGAAAGTAATGCTTACCGTAGCAACACACTGGAGGAAAGGATAGTTGGGGAAGCATGCTTTGGAAACATCTGAGAACTGTTTCTGGATGGTCTCTGAAATTCATGAATCATATTCAGACAGTGGTCACAGCCATTAAAGTGATAGTTCAACTAAAAATCTATGTACACAGTTTTCTCCTTGTCCCAAATGTAGTCAATCAGCAAAGACATGTTTAGTGTCCCAAGTTTGCTTCTTTAGTCTTACACTGGAACTACAAGGCTTGTACACCGACCCACTTGGTTACCACGTCAGGTAGTTAAAAAATTTCAGACAGACTCACTTATGTGGCTTTTGACACTGTCTGCACAGTTACCTATACAAATTGACAAAATATGGAGAGTTCAGACATCAGCTGGCCGCTATTACTGTTTTTAGCCATGCAGAAGACTATTCACCGCTAGTCAGCTGCATTTGGGGTGCATTTTTCACAAAAAGTACTGCTTTAATTCAGTTACTGATAACACAATCTTTTTTTGAGAGTGAGCAACTGTGGGACACTGCAAATTCATAATTACGCCTTTCAGAATTTACTAGAATCGTTATCAAAAAGCCAGACATGCCATCATACTGGATTTGTTTTGTTTTTGGCCAAACAAATTTGCTGATAACTTTACTCCTCTGAATGGAGAATATGTACTTTTCTTCATTGGAAGTCTACATGAAGAAATCTAATTCCATGAGAATTCAGTCACTCATGTTTTTAAGACTGGAATGTTTGTCATTGCAAACTGTGTTAAAGATTCATTAACATGAACTCATTAGCTTTAGGGGTTGTTAATGAATCTTTACTGGCATGTTGTAGTTATACCTGTTATGCCTAAAAGTATTACCAAGCATCTTACCCTACAAGATACATTCCATGCAATAAACAGAAAGTCCAGCTATAAACCTTTGCAATTACTTTGACAAAGTAATGTCCCAGCTCCCCCTCTACTTTGTCTATGCATGGAAAGTGAGCACCATAGGACCACCACTGAACAGATATTTAGAAGGTGGACCATTCTTAGCACAGCAGTGACACCAATATTGTACAATATTGTACAGTTACACCCGATCATATGTGGTCACTGGAGATGCTTTTTGAGACTTACAGAGATGTCAGGTGTAAACACTATATATCTCTCTGTTCACTTATGGTCAGATCACTCAAGATGGATGTTAATACCACCTATGAACAGGGCCATTGATCCACCACCCAAATAATGTCTGGTCAGCAGTGGTTGATGGATGAGCTAGAGAGGGCTGATAAATTGTACAGCAACAGATGAGCTACAGTCAGTAATTGTAGAACTACAAAGTGCACCTATAGCGTAGGTGTACGTGATTAAATAACCTGTGAGTGTAGATACAAGAGCACATCATAAACTGGCAACTCAGTGTGTTTACATATTAAAAGATTCAGCTCATCAGCTGATATTGGAGAAATGTATGAGCTGGATTAGACAAGGCAAGGCAAGTTTATTTATACAGCACTTTTCATATGCTGCTGTCATTCAAAGTGCTTTACAAATACAGAGTCAGAAAATACAGTGTGCTGAGGCAGGGAACACTTAAAACTGTGCAGTGCTGGAGTTTGCCAGGAGCACTATTAGCAAAACCCTGTGTTAAACAATAAAGACTGTGAAAGACATAGTGTGTAAGTGTAAACGTACCTCTTATGACTCTGAGTCTGTCAATGGCTGGTCCCTTCAGTTGGATCACAAGTCTCTGCACCACCATCTCAAACACATTATAATCGCTGAAGCCAGGCAGCTCCCTTCCTCTGTACTTCAGGTCATATTCTTTCACCACAGCCTGGACCACCTCATGAACTGTGTTGCATGTAAATTTTGACATGAAATATTGCCTGAATAAACTCTTCACATACATATGATATCTCGTATAAAAAGTATATTTCACAGTTCTTGGTCAACTTTTGTTAAGCTTTGAGTTTGAACATCAGTTACTGAAATTATTACTGAAATCGAGCCTGTACTACGGTGGATTACAAAAGGGTACAGCTCAAAGCACAACAGAACAAGTCTATTTTTTATATTTCTGTCACTTCAACAGCAGACATTCGAATTTGTTCTTTCTTCAGAATACATTTAGAAACAAGCATGTTTGCTTCATGCTATGCGCTGATTTTAAAATAGTTAATAAATCAGCACTGATGGTGTTTCTTTTGATGATTGTATATTCTTTCATTTAGTGGGTAAGTATTCTAAAAGGATTCTCCTGAAAACATGAAATATAACTATATTCTGAGTACTGCCTTTACAAAGTGTAACTTGGATAGAGATACTTTACTTCCGTATTCTGAATACATATTCCCAATACTTTTATAACCCTGGCCAAGCTTAATGTGTATCGACACATTTACTTACATGATGACTTTGTACTGTCAAGATGTTCTTTCCACTTTTTGAACTCCGACCGAAGCTGAACAAACAAGTTGTCTTCATTACCCGCTTCCCCAGATGCCAAGCGGTTGATCTTGTCATTGAACTTCATCAAAGTCTGCGAGAACAATGGACCACCAACACATAATTTAGGCATGTAAACCAAGTTGCCAGTTTATTAGGTATAGCTACCACATATTTTTTTTCAACAGTGGTTCTGTGGTCTGCAGTTGACTTATTGTGTATAGAAAAATACAAGCTATAGTCAGGGGTGGAAATGGCCATGTTGTATGGAAGAAACTCCCCTTGGTTTCCTTTATTTATTTATTTAAAAGCCTGTTTCTTGTACATTGTCATGTTGAAACACTTTACACTTTAAAACACTCACAAATGAAAAAATGCATGTTTTAATCTAAGGCATTTCCTGCATTAAAATAAATTTAAGAGCTGAAACCTTTACTGACAGACGTAGTGATACTTCACATTCAACTAAAAACACACTTCTTGGGCCATGTTCCAACCTCTTTACCTTTTAAAATTAAACAGGCTATTTTTGCTACTGTGCCTTTAAGACTGATGAATGTAAATTACCTATGCTCTGATTGGCTGCCTTGTATAGCACCTTGTTCAAAAAGCAGAAAATTTAGTTTTTTCTTGATAGGAGGATTAAAGCCTCTGTCTACTTTCATAATCATTAATGCTTTGATTTAACAAACACCAACAATTCATCAAATATCCAGTAATATGTGGTTTTAACCTATATAAACAATTCCTTAGATGTGAAATAGAGTCAGAATGCTGTTCTGTCCTGAATGTTACTTTGTTGTGCAGTAATAAATGGATTACAGTCAAGATTTGTAAACCTACAAAGTGCATGTATGAGGTAGGTGCCATTGAAGCTTGATTCTAGGTAAGTCTAGCTAATAAACTGGTAACCCTGTGGGGATTTTAGAGTAGGAAGTGGTCTCTCACACTGATGAAGAAGTCCTTCCTCTTCTGTGGATCCAGTGGTGGGCCAGCCTCGCACTGATTCAACTCTTTTCTCAAGTCCCACAGCTGCTTCTTTATCTGCTCTGAAAGCAGAGGCAGCGATTTCTAAACAAAAGAAAGGAAAAGAAACATTTAAATGAGATGGGCTGTATTTAGAAAGCAAACAGTGAAGTAGCTATGGGGACATGGAATTAACAAGAACATGCCAATGTGGAAAGATGGAATAGATGTTTGATTTCTTGCAGATTTTTGGATTTGGCTTGGACTCAGCACACTAAGGGATTGACAATGAGTTGAATTGGGTGTGTTAGATGTCTGTCCAGGACTGTATTTGGGATACACTGTTTTAACTAAAAGTGTTTAGTGTGGTTACTTTTTAAGTTTAGTGAAAAATACAGATATAGATTTAGATGTAGAAACTGTGTTTATACTTTGATGTGATCAACCAGGTCTTGAGTCAGTTTGCTGGCAAGGCACTGAATCGTTGCTTTCTCCTCATTCAAAAGGCAACTGTCAATGAAAAATATGTACTTTATGAGTGGATTAAATGTCATAAATATTTACAAGTGACAAATGACTTCTTCATGTTAAGCTGACCTGAAGAACTCGTGACGTTTGAAGAAGTCTCTCTCCACTCGAGTCGCCTGCTCCAGAGAGATTTTCTCATCAATCTGCTTCTGACCACGGCACTTAACGATGATGTATCCTTTGCTTAAAGGAATAACCTGATTTCTGACTACATCCATTATGTTCTTCTCTGTTCCTTTGTCAATAAGGTCTGGCTTAGTAAGAATAGCTGATAAAAAAAGTAAATAAATAAATACATATTTTTATTTCACATACTTTACATATTACTATTATTATTATTATTATTATTAGTGGTAGTACCATGAAATAAATCTGCTCTGTGTTACTTAGCCTTATTTATACTTTACCCAGAGTTCTTTTCCCTTCAGGGTCCACCTCCTGTGCCATCTTCAGTGCCTCTGTTGTTGCAATGTCAACATTGCATGGGACCACGACCAAATTGATGGTTTCATTCTTCTCAATAAAGGTCCGTATGAGATTTTTGATCTAGAAGAAAAGTAGCTTACAGATAAATGAAAATCTTATCATTTAATTGACGCATAAAATTACACATGCTGGTTGTATACTGACCTGATCTCCGATATCATCAGGCTGACCTTTTACAGGAACCCTTGCAATCCCAGGCAGATCGATCAGTGTGAGGTCACAAACATCAGGAGACATGATCTCCAGAGTGATGAGATCATCACATATTCCAACTCCATCTCCAGCCAACTCATTCTGAGCTATTAGACACACGTAACACTTCATTTATGGGTACAGAAATTCTTCAAATCTTTTACTTGATAGCCATTTAGCTAAGATCAAGTTTTTGTTAGACAAACTGTGAGCACTAGTAGCCGATAGTAAGCTTTTTCTTTAAGAGCTACAACATAAGCACGGGCGTCGATAGGCCAGTTTTCCCAAAATAAATGCACCTTACTAGTTAAAATCATGTTTAGTTTCTTCTCATTCGTTTTTCATTATTCAACAGCGCCAATAGCAGAGCGCTACCTGTGGGAGGCGCAACCTGCTGCTCTAACGCAGCGCTGCCTTTGCTGTGCTGCCAGAGCCGGTTTATGAGGAGCCTGGCCACTTCCTATCCCCCTGTTATATCAAAAACAGGACTGATAAACAGCAGAGGGCGCCCGCGAGTGAGTCCTCAATGAATGGGAGTAAATGGAGCTCAACGGCTAAAAACGAAAAGTTAAAATAGTTTCTTATCACTTGCCCAGAACGTTTCTTTAATTTTAGAAAGTAGAAGGATATATTTCACAAAAAAAAAAAACCCAAAGAAATCTTACCTATATATTTCCTTTTTTCTACTGCAAACAGGTCTTGGGCAGCAGAAGGCGGGCTTTACTGCTAGAGCGTGATGATTGATTGGTGAGTATAGCAGCTCATTGGCTGTTTGCGCTCACTGACGTCATGGACATACATGAGGCGCCGTTTTAAACTCCTATAACTCGAGTTGAAAAGCTCTTAAAATATAACAGCGGTGTTAAAATGTTTTATTATATTCAGTGTTCAGGAAATTACTGTATTATTTTACATTAAAAATGTTTAAGCATTTATAAACTATGATTTTGCTCAAATGCTCCATATCAACCCATTCATTTTGGACTCACTCGGGAGCGCCCTCTAGCGTCTGAGAAGCCCGGAAGACATTGCAGAGCGGTAATTCTCCTCTCTACAAGTTCTCTGGTGCTACCATTTATTGACTGAACGTGATGTGAAAAGTAGAACCCCCCACACGGCCAATCATATGAGACCTCATAAGTTGTAAGCCAATCATTTCAGACCTGGGGGCGGGGCTCTGGTTTTACTTACGCAGCTTAGTAACGTAATTCAGCAACCACTGAAGCTGAAGACAGGATTTTGGCTAAAAGCTTATTTGGCTAATAAACATTAGACCTTATTCAAAAAATATATAATGTACAGAGTGAAGACACCCACCTAAAATATGGATCTGTGGCAAATTATGGTCAGTTATGTACTTGGTTGCTTTTTTTAGCTAGTTAACTTTGTGTTTATGTTTGGCAAGAAAAGCTAACTAGCTAACAAACTGACAAACAAAATTTAAGAATTTGAAGAAGCTTCACAGTGAGAGTGAACAACAGGGATAGAAATAACATTATTTACAGCTCTGTTTAGTCTTTGTTTTTGTTATTTTTTGTTTTGTTTCTTTTTTTAGTATTTAAAAACATTGACAAAGGTGTTCACCATATATTGCTTTTTACAAGTAAATGCCAGTGAAAAGGTCATATAGTGTTGATCATAACTCAATTTTACATCCCTCAGTTCCTCAACCAATGAAAATTAAGAGGCAGCAGCTCCATCAAAGGCCAGTCAGATGAGGTAAAACAAACAAAAAAAAAATCTCTCATTATTTTTTAGGGTTCTGAGTTTAATTAAACAATGTGTTACTGAACACAGGAAAAGAGGGAGAGAGAGAAGGTCTGACAGGACTGAAAGAGCAGATCTGATGGAGGTTAGTGATCATGAAGAAAGCGAGGGAGAGCTGTATAAGCCTTAACTCAAATTAATACTGAATTCAATTTAACTTGACTGAGAAAATGTTTGTCACTATGACCATGAAATTCTGTCATCTAGCTTATTAAACATGCCTACAGAGCAAAATCACAATCTTTCTGATTGCACTGAATGTACTGACATTGAACTGACATTTTGGGACCAATAAAAAAATTCTCCTAGGGGACCGCGGCCCTAGACCTCCCTAGTACAGGTTTAGCCCCCTATCCATAAAGCTCTAGTGACACCCTGAACATGAGGGAATACAAGTTTTTCTTTAGTATTATCAGCGACTGCACTGACCTTCCGCAACATAATGTTCAACCATTAATGGGTCATCAAACTCAGTGTACTCCTCTTTGTAAGATATGGCCGCTCGCCACTGAACCCCACCCTTGATCTTCCTCAGCTTAAGCTCCAGAGGACATCTGGTAACAATACCTACAGTGGACAGAGAACATTATATATCCATATGTCTTGTGAAACTTTCTAAACAACATTCCAGCAATTGGACTATGCAGTGTTTTAAGTGTACACACATTTACATTTATTTAACTACACACCTACATAAACATAATGTAAAGGCAAGTGAAAAACGTAGTTACAAAAGTGATGAGAAGAAAAGTAAAGTTGAATGAGTTTTCCAAAGGGGTTTCTTTAAATGTGTAAGGTTTTCATTTTTCCTTCATATAAGTATTTGTTAATTATAAACTAAAACCAAATAAAATTCAAAAAACAACTAAAAAAATGACGTGCTTCGGAAGTTAAAGGTGCTCTGTGCTCTTATCACACTGTTTTTTTTATACTGTAAAGGTTTGTAGGACAAGAGAAAACTACCCACCACTCCCTCTGGGTAACGCCACCCCAGACAGCGCCTCCAGCACAGAGCTTTTCCCGGAGCTCTGATCTCCAATCACTGCTATAGTTGGTAGAGCTAAATCTTCTTCAATTCCAATCAGCCTCAGAGAGTCAATCAGGTCGATGTAAGGACGAACTTTCTCCTCTAAATGGCTATGAAACACCCCTTCCATTGCTTGTTTACTGTAAATGAGGAATTGACATTAATTTGCATGTTTGATATATTTATGAAATTTACAAGGGAATTAAATGGTCATAATCACTTCATACAGTTAGTAATACACACCTGGTTTCACTAGAAGAAGAGACATCTTCAAAACTACTTCCGTCATTCTCCATCATTTAGGAAAGAGTTACTGGGAAAAATTGAAGGAAGGGAAATCACATTTGAACATCTTCAATACTTTAATAAAGACTTTGTATGTATTTTACTAGTCAGATTATAGGACTGTAAGCAAGTTATTTTACTCACCTCTCTGTCTTCCACCAACCGGATTTACAGAAGGACACAAATAAACTGAAAGCACCCACTGTGCTCTTATATATATATAGGCACTCAGTCGCACTGCAACAGTAATTGTGAAACTGAAAGCAGAGAACACAGGGATGACAGGTTTTTCCAAGGTATGCAGGGATTTTCCAGGTTGTATTTAGTCCTCTGAGTTTCACATAAACACCTGTGACGTTAAAGGAGGTGTTATTCAGGCATGATATACATTTTTTGGTACCAAGCTCACGTGCCAGCAGTGTTTTATTGTTGTCTCATGTCTTGTTTGCCTCAGGCAAGTATAATTAGACCCTGACAGCAGAGTTATCAGTTACTAAGCTGTGCCTGATTCAGCTGGGTGGAATCTCTGGTTAACCGTATGCTCTCAAAATAACCCCTGCATGACCACTTCCTCCAAACATTTGGTGAAATGTACACATATACATGGCGGCATGGTGGCGCAGTGGGTAGCACTGTCGCCTCACAGCTAGGAGGGCCTGGGTTTGATTCCCTGGTTGGGTGACCAGGGTCATTTCTGTGTGGGTTTCCTCCCACAGTCCAAAGACATGCAGTCAGGCCGATTGGACACGCTAAATTGCCCCTAGGTGTGAGTGTGGGTGTGAATGTATGTGTCTGCCCTGTGATGGACTGGTGACCTGTCCAGGGTGTGTCCTGCCTTCCACCTGATGATTGCTGAGATAGGCTCCAATTCCCCCCGTGACCCAGAAGGAGAAGCAGCTTAGAAGGGGAGTGTGTGTGTGTACATATATACGCTGTATGTGTGTGATGTGTAGAACTGTCCAGTTTTCCCTGCTCAGGTCCTGCTTCTTTCTCTCTCTGCCCTGGTCCTGTCTTCTGTTGACTCGCCACACATTTGTTATCCTGTTCATGTTTGTATAGTTTTTAACACTTTCTGGTGATTATTGCCTCCAGCTGAGTTTCTATACCATGGCAACCTTGAGCTCTGTGTGGTTGCCAGCTCATTTGGATCCTCCCATGAGCCTCCATGGCCACCTGTTACTGCAAGTTTACTGCCGCTATTTACTAAAGTTAGTGCTAATATTAGCTATAAGTGTGCTAATCTGTCTATTTTCACGTGTACACATCTTGTGGCAAAGTTTCTAGGGTAGGTTCATGTTTACTGTCAGTGGGAGACTGGTTTCCCAGACAGGGATTAATAGACATGTACTATAGTTTCCAGGGCTAGGATTAATCCCTATCGAGGAAACCAGTGTCCAAAGGTTTGTAAACACCTGTTCATCCAATATTTCTTCCAAAATCAAAATTTTTCTCCCTTTGCTTCAGTAACAGCTTCTACTCTTCTGAGAAGGCTCCACACTAGATGTTGAAACATTGCTGTGAGGATTTGATTGCATTCAGCCACAAGAGCATTTGTGAGTTCAAGCTACTGATGTTATGTGATCAGTTCTGGATGACTCCAAATCATGCCGAAGGTGTAGGATGGAGCTCCGTAACAACTTCTACTCTTTTGTGAAGGCTCCACACTAGTTGTTGGAACATTGCTGTAAGGATTTGATTGCATTCAGTCACAAGAGCATTCATGAGTTCAAGCTACTGGTGTTGGATGATCAGTTCTGGATGACTCAAAATCATCCCAAAGGTGTAGGATGGAGCTCCATCACTCCAGAGAATGCAGTTCCACTGTTTCACAACCCAGTGCTGGGGGGGTTTATACCCCTCTAGCCGACGCTTGGCATTGGGCATGTTGACCTTAGGCATACGTGCGGCTGCTCCAAAACATCCCATTCTATTAGCGAAACATCCCATTCTATCACCTCTCTTTGTTCATCCCTGTTTATTCTTCTCTGTTATCACTGGAGGCATCTTTGTTGTTATTATATTGCTTTGCTTTTAGTTTCCAAGTTGTGTTTCAGCTTTCTGTGGTGTTTAACAAAGATATACTGGTGTTCTCTCTGTACTTTGACTTCCAGTGTTGTCAAGGACTTAAATAATAATATATAATAAATAAAAATAAAAAAATAAATAATAAAGAAATAATTCACATACACACCCCGTACATCCTCAGATGCAGTGTTGACATTAAAAGCTCGACATTCACTCGATTCACTTGTCCATGGAAAAAAGGTTAATAACAACATTTACAAATGACTGCGGATGGTGTTGCACAAGTTTCTTGAAATGTTATCATTTGCATTGAACAATATATATTGAGAAAGAGAGAGGGAGAGAGAGAGAGAGAGAGAGGAGACAAAATAATTAAGAGATAGATTTTAACCTACTCAATTTAAATTATGTTACTTTCTCAGATTTTTAACAACAAAATTGTTACTAAGCCTCATCAGTTATCTCTCTCGCTCTCTTTTCACACATTCAGTTCACACAACTTTATGAGGAAAATTAACTTATGGGTAGTGCCAAGTGCAGCTGTAGTGCTAACGTTCACTAAAAGTTAAAGACACTAACTAGCATGAACTGAGTTTTGCCTCTAACTCTATGTGATATTAACGTCAAAAGCACATTTATAATGTATTGTATGAGAGAGCTGTGTGGTTTGATGGATACACTTGAAGCTAATGCAGCTAAATTTACTTCCTTCTCAGCCAAGGTGGCTAACGCCAGACATGCCTGGTAAACACCCGCTACTCTACAGGCTGTGGCGCTGTGGCTTAGGTGGTCAAAATGCCTGTCTAGTAAACAGGAGATCCTGGGTTTGAATCCCTGGTGTTTATCTGCAATCTCTCTTCAGAATCAATAAAGATCTCTCTGTTAAGTTCATCCCTACAAGTGCGAAAACAGTTTTGTTTCCTCTTTGACTCGTCCATGTCATTTCGGAGCTTTACCTCACAATTCTTCATGCTGTGGAGGTTTTGAAAACATTCTGTTTGATTAGCTTAGCTGCTGTGGCTAAAGTGAAGCCCTCAGGTCTGATGAAGATAGAAACTTGTTCACTGTTTGTAGGATACTCTGCTGGGAGTACTTCAGTGTTGTAGTCCTGGACTACATTTCTTTCAGTGGAGAATCTCAGACAGCTGTGAAAAAAAAAAAATTTAGTAGTTCTTTTAAAATTCACACTTTTGAATAATTTAAGCAATGAATGTAAGATAAATGCTTAATTTGTTTATGCAAATGGACACTGTTTGTTTTCTTGCCTTTAGCTGTCTTTACTTTCACTTTCATTTCACCATTTGCGAACATTTCATGATGAATGGATCAACTGCAAAGGTCCAAAGTAAAGAAATCGCAATTGTAACAATGCTTTTCAAATCATGCTGCATTTGTCTTATTACACAATGCCATTCAGTGTGTATAAAGCCTGGGATTACAGAAATCTAAGCTTAGTTACAGAAAATTATAGCATGTTAAATAAGTCAACTTGAACTGAATTAAAGGAATTGCTTTTTATTTAGGCTTTTTGTGAGGAGCGAAGCTGTTTGTTCAGTCAGGGCACTGATATTGCAGCTGTAACCACAGTGAGTGACCTGCATATCAGTGAGCTTTTATCTAAAAGAGAGGTTTGTTCTCAGAACAGAAACTCAGATAGCAGTTTTTTCCCAAATGGAAGTGGAAAGAGGAAGTGAGCTTAAACAATCATTGACTTCATTAGCTTCTTATTCAGTTAAGCATCTTTAAACTCATTGTTTAATGGCTTTTATGAATTATTCAGGAAACCAGTATGTAAGTTATATAGCTTTGAGAATGAGGAAAGGAAAATCACAAAAATCTGAGATCTTGAATATGAATTTTTCCTTCATATTACATATTACATTTAAATGTAAACTAAAACCACTGACAATTGAATTGAAGTGCAATGCTTCCCAGATTAATGCTGATCCTCTCCTGTGCTTGCTGGGGTTGTTCCATTCGGTGATACAGCTCTGTCCTCTTTTAAGTCTTTAGTCTGGAGTTTTCACACATCAGCTCCATCATGCAGGTTAATGGATTCTGCTCATAGCATAACAGCAGCTTCTTTCAGCATAAACAGCAAGACCAGCATAGGCACATAGTCAGCCAGCTGCTGGTAGACGATCTGTTAGAGTAGAGGGGGATTTATAATCTGCAGGTATATTATTCAGTTATTAATAAAAAAAAAACCTATTATATTTGGAAACTATAATCATGTACATTATGCAAAATATCTAGATATAAAAGTGAGGAATTGATGTGTGGGCTCTCATATGGACTCTTTTTTTGTTTGAGGGGTTAAACTGAAAGTGGAAGTGTAAAGGTGGGCCTGGGGAGTTTTTCAAACAAAATCTTATGACTATGAGTCACACATACACACCCAACCCTAAACCAGTTCCTTAACTGTCTGGGAAACCGGTCTATGAAATAGAGTACTGTGCAAAAATGTTTCTATATATAAGAAAAATAAGATAATCATATAAGATAATCTTGCCTGTGAAAGTGGGAAGTAAAAGGAAAATAAACAAGAAAGCATGTTTCCAAGCTGGAATTCGAAAAATGATTAAAAGATACAGAGAAAATGGGATTCATAACAAGACCGTGCAAGACCTGATAGACCATGAAACTGTCTCCATCAGATAAACAGCACTTAAAGCTTTCATCTTTGAGAGAGAGGAAAAAATCAAGCTCCACTCTTGATTCAGATCTGAAAACATCCACAGGTGTTTCTGTCCATCCTTCCACTGTAAGAAGACAACTCAACACTATCTAAAAGGATGTGTAGCTGTCAAGAAGCCCTTACTGAGAAAAGGAAAAATGAACGCAAAACTCCTGAGAAGAATGGAAGCTATAATAAAGGAAAAGAGTGGACACATCGAATTCTGAAAAATCTGATATTATATACAGTTGTTGAGGTTTTTGTGTCATTTTCTGTTCAGTGTATGTTTTTTGAACAATGCATAGCTCACACTTTCTGAAGCTCCTCCATCCTATTTAATGCCTACATATTTCATGCTCTACCTTTTGGTTTCTGTTTTAAAGTTTACACACCCCACCATCTTTTTCTTACTTTTCCTCAGTCTTATCTCTCGACACAACCATACGCTCAATCCACTTTATTAAAACTCCTTTCTTGTTCTTTCACTCACTTGCCTGTTTATGAGGCCCACTATAGTAGTGTTTGACCAAAAGGTT